TCAAAACTTGTACCCCCATCCCCATAATCATGTTGTAATAGCTTAGAATTGAAATTCTCGTACTTTTACGCTTTCAATTATGCCATGATTAGAGAATTAGGGTTTGTATGCAAAATCAAAACCAACAAATAGTTTGACCTAATCAAAGACAAAAATGCATGAAAAACAAACACAATGCACACTTGCACCCCTAGGGTTACAATCCACTTGTTGCCTTCAAAAATGGGCCATGGTATGGATGTTAAGTACTTTGGCAAAACAAAAACAAAACAAAAGATCATAGTCTCTCGATGACGCTATCTTAGTTGCCTAAACAAAAATGATCAAGTCCCTCAAGAAAATTGCCAAAGATACTTGACACAATTGCTATCATGGTCTATACGATGACCCGCGCCTGTCCCGTTTAACATCCTAACACAAGGTTGTTCACCAAATGCAATGGTGAAACAACACTATTAAAAGGGTTAAAAACATAAGAAAGATCTTTGAGTAAAATAGGTTAGATAGCTCTTAGTTACTTGATCAAAAGCTTGCAAAACATCCTTGCTATTTTCAAACACACTTCACAACACAATTTCAAAATCCAACTTTCAAACATTGAAAACTTTTCAAAAGACAAAACACCTTTGTATACATTCAAACAAGAATCATTACAAAGGTTGCCACAATGATGGCTTCTTTTCAAAACATCTTTCAAAACCACACACAAAGCACCATTTCAAACAATTGAAGAGCACCATTTCAAACATTTGAAAAGCAAAGCAAGTGATCTAAACAAGTAAGTAAGATTCCATGGATAACCATGGATAGAAAGGGTGCTAATACCTTCCCTTTCTATAATCTACTCCCCGAACCCAAGAAAACATCTCAAAGGTCTTTCCTGTGCTTTTTGACCTTTCCTTAGGATAAAATAAAAAGTCGATGGTGACTCTTGCTAAACCGAAACATTTGCAAACACAAACGCAAAACCTCAAGTCAGTTCTCCCACCGTATCACACTCATGTTTATTCAGTGGTCATTATCAATTGATTATAATATCATTTAGGACGAATATGATAACTATATTGTGTTCCTTGCATGATCCACTCAACAAGAAAATGAAAGATATTATTAATTCGTAAGTGTATGTTTAATTCATTTTCTTTGATATTGTAAGTAGTTTATCACGTAATATATTTAATTCATATTCAGTGTACACTGTTGTGGAACAAGTGAATACGATGAATAATGTTAGAAGAAAGCCCTCATGGATCACTCCTAAAGTAAATGGCCTGATTACCTATTTCATTCATTTACATTCATGTACATTCATGTGTGGTTACATTTATTTGTAGACGAGGAAACAATCTGAGACATACGAGTGTGGGTATTATATCATGAAACACATGTTAAACATTGTCCTTGCTGGCATTGTTGATTCATGGGATAAGGTATATATGTCATAATATGTTTACATATATTAATATATAAGTTGACATATATTTTAAACATTTTTTTCTCTTTCGTATATAGATGTTTAACGAAGTAACCCCATTCCCCGTTGAGGACTTTGTCGATCTTCGTAAGCGTTGGGCATATATCCACAATGTGATTAAGAGTCCTTCTATTTGATTTATTGATATGTGCTAATGACTTATTAATTCCTTAAATGATGATGTGAATATTACTTTTGACCTAAACATATTGTCTTTGACGTAAATATTAATCTTGGCTTTTGATGCACAATGTTAGTTGTTTTTTATGCTCTTTCTGCATGGTTAACAAAATATGGGTTGTTGTAAATTATATGATATGGTTATAATATTTATATGATAAAAAATGAGAATAATTTGAGAAGCATAAAATTTCAAATTTAAAACAGTTGAAGTTTTGACAGTAGTTATAAAACCTAACCATGATTGTATATTGAACGGTAACCAAAATAATATAAATTACAAAATGTTGATACTGAGAATTGAACCTGGGACCTTAAGTTCTATCACAACGGTTGGGTTAAATAACCGTCGTGATATTACGTGTGCTTTATAGAATACTACAACGGTCACTTGACCGTGATTGTAAGTATCATATATTCAACGATACTCTATATAACAACGCACGGGCAACATGTTGTTATATATTTTTCACAATCGTTGTTAAATAGGTTTTTCGTAGTAGTGTTCATACTCAATTTTTATTTATCTGTAGATAGACATAGTTTATGACTAAGCTTGAAATGAGAAGCAAGTGTATGCTCACCAGTTTAGCCTTATCCATACTAAAACACCGAAGGATTTTCTCTATATACATTTCTTGTGACAAGTATAACTTATTCTCATTTCTATCTCGAATAATTTCAATACCAAGAATATTCTGAGCCTATCTGAAATCCTTCATAGTAAAAGATTCACTCAAAGTGTTCTTTAACTCTTTAATTCTTGAAATATTATTTCCAACAATTAGCATATCATCCACATAAAACAAGAGAATGATGATCGACCTTTGTCATCTTGTACCCATGTTCAATCATCACCGAGTTGGAATTTTGATACCATTGGTGAGATGCTTTTTTCAAACCATAAATACTTTTTACCAATTTGTAAACATAGTCTTATTTGCCTTTCTCTTGGAATCCATCTGTTTGCTCCATGTAAATTTCTTCATGTAGATCACTATGAGGGAAAGTCGTCTTCACGTCCATTTGCTCTACTTCCAAATCAAGACTAGAGGCTAGCCCAAGAACCAATCGAATAGATTGCATCTTCACAACCAGAGTAAAAATATTACCAAATTCAATACCTTCCCATTGTTTAAAACCTCTTACCACTAAGCGAGCCTTGTATATTCTTTGAGAAGTACACTCATCTTGCTTAATCCGATAAACCCGTATATTCTTCAATGCTCTCTTACCCTTTTGCAACTTCACTAACTCAAAGGTATTATTCTCACGAAGTGATTGAATTTCATCCTCCATGGCATCCATCCACTCCTTTTTATTCTCATCCTCCAAAACTTCTTTAAAGTTTTTTTGTTCTCCACCATCGTAAGAAAAACTTACTCGTTTGAGGGGTATCAAACTGATGGCCTTTTGTCACGAATAGACCGCCTCAACTCATTAGAAGAAATTGATTGCCAACACTTTTAATCTCTTGATCAACCTCATTTTCAACAATGTCTTCTGTGGCCATATTATTCTCTTAAAGACATATTATTCAGCATTTAAGGGCATATAAACCAGAAAATATCCAGACTAGTCGATGGCAAAACCACCAAATGTCCATCCCACAGAAGGGCAACAACAACACTAGGTAGAAAAAGAATCCTACGCAGGGTTCAAAGAGCTGAACAAATATCATGTCATATATATGACAAGATCATTTAATTAAAAGAAAAAAAATAAAAAAAGTTCTTAAAAAATATTAAATCACTGAGAGTCACCACACCACCACTAAAATAAATCTCATATTCCAAATCCTCTTCTCCTTCACTGTTATTCTAATATTTATTTTCACTTAATGCTACAACAACTTTCCCAATATTTTGACTAATTGTCTAAGAAGTGGATGCAACAAAATCTATCAAATTCATCATTTTGATAAGACCATCAACCACACTTTTATGAACAGAGTAGCTATTATTTTTTGTACGGATTTGAGTCCTACATAAGAACACTAAGAATGAAGTCTCTAGCAGCCTTAGATATAGGTGAGACTTCATGAATATTATCACCTGCAGGCAAAACATATTCATCAAACTTCAAAGTTTAGGGATAATGGTGTTTGGACATGTTTCCCAACAAAAAGATTGTAACTAAAATTTAAAGGAATCGATGGAACACCAATAACATTATTAACAATCAAAACATCATGTGTTTGCTTAATTAGAATACCACAAATAAATTGTGGAAAAACAATGGGAAGCTGAATGGTTAAAGACTCGACACGTTTCAACACTTGATCCAAAATATATTCTCTGAAATAAAAAGTTTCTCTAGCTCCAGTTTGATAAAGTAAACTTGCAAGACTTATAGTTATACATGATCCACAATTTGTATGTGCCAAGTTGGTAACCCATTTCTTGTATAAGATGACATATTTTACACCCAAGTTAGATTCAATGAGAAAACCCTTAGACGACTAGTTATCATGGATACTATCAGTAATTTCTTGAGATATTATCTTCAAGGAGGGAACACGATTAGTAGTGATAAGTTTTCCTCTCCCCATGTACTCATTTATAATGGCTGGAGAAATCAGAAACAATATCCACACATATGAATGACAAAAAACCCGTACCAGTGGATATCCGCATGTAAAACCCGTCACGAATACGAGTTTGATGATTTATTGGATATCCACGGGTAAAATTAACGGATATTTCACTATCCATTAATTCAAATTATTCGAATTATGAGATTGATTATGAGATTTATTATGATTCAAATTATTATATTATAAATTGTAATAAAACTTTATGATAATTCATTTACTTAATTATTGTCTTAAAAAACTTCACATTTTAACATCCCACTTTTATTATTTATCTCCTTTCATAATTTTTATCGTCATCAAAACTACTTATAATAGATGAATATCTTTTTCAGTGTAAATATTTATGAATATATTTTAAAAATAAATCTTGTAAAATAATATTATAGTATGACTTTATTAAAGATAGATTTAAGAAAAAGTTACCTTTCCTTTTAATAGAATTAATTTAGGTATTGTAAAGAAAGCTATTTTGACCACAGAAATATAATTAAATAAAAAAAAAAAGAATAAAAATTTAAAAACTAAAAATATATAAATATAATATTAACAAAAAGATCGCAGTAAGAAAAGGAAAGATAAATTGTAAGAGTGAGAGAGAATGTAGTTGTTTGGTCTTTGGCCTTATGGAAACAATTCAAATCAAAATCAAACTCAAATCAAAACCAAAAAGGAGCATTAAATAATTTACATTACACAAACACATTGTGCATAAATAAATTATAGAGAAAAAAAAAGAAAAAAAGTGTTATTATGGAGAAAAACAAAGTATCGATTATGGTTTCTTCGACATTGTTATTTTTCTTGTTTTTTTCGACATGTGATGCTATATGGATCACCTTACCAGGTTCATCAGGTCACAAATGTGTTTCTGATGAAATTCAGCATAACGTCGTCGTTTTGGCTGATTATGCTGTTCTTCCGGTTGATCAATCATACCATCCCACTATTTCCGTTAAGGTATGATTTTTCTCGTTGAAACGGTTACCCTTCATGCAATTGATCTTAATCTGATTCTGTGTTTGGGAATCTGAATTTGTTTTTGAAGATGTTTTGATGGTAGAATGAGTAAAGATATTGATACAATTGTTGTATATGATTAATCATGTTAATTAGATGGTTAATCAATTGATGATAAAAAATTGCGGTTATTTTGATTACATGATGAACCACAATTTCATAATTTTGAATGAAATCTAAATTAACCACTCGCTCAATTGATTAAAAATGTAGTTAATTTATTTGATTAGATTGTTAATTCAATTGAAGATAAGAAAATTGCGGTTAGTTCAATGATTAACCACAATTTCAAGATTTTGAATATGATCTAAATTAACAATCTGTTCAATTGAATTTACCGTTTTCTTGTTATTAACAAATTGTCGCAGGGGTAAGGAAAATTGAGTGTCTATGAAACACTTTTGTTGTAGAATAACTTTATGTGGAACCGATTATTTTGCATTATGGGATTTTCTTACATAAGAATCATGATTGTATTAGTGTATGTTTGAATGAGCCGTCAAGTTAACAAAATCAATGTAACGCCGAGACTTTGTTGAAGCTACAAAGTGTAGTTTTCGACAAAATCACGTGGCTCGTCCTAATTCTTACAATCTTAACATGTGGTTGTCCTTTACGTTAACTACAGAAACATTGACAACCTTGAGACAATTTGTATGATAATTTGTTTTCTTTAGGTGAGCTCGCCGTATGGAAACACTCTTCATCATAATGAGAATGCTACAATTGGTAAGTTTGCATTTACATCTCAAGAGAGTGGGAACTACCTGGCATGCTTTTGGGTTGCACACAACCCTGCAGGTGCAGATGTCAACATGAACCTTGATTGGAAAATTGGAGTTGCAGCCAAAGATTGGGATTCTGTTGCTAGAAAAGACAAGATTGAGGTAAAACATTTCAATCCCACGAAATTCTTGTACAACTTTTTAGTTCCGCCTCTCAAGGATTCGTTATGCGGTGACAAAAATCGATTTTGACTGATTTTGGTTGATCGGAAAATTGATTTTTATTGTCTATGTTTCTTTAAAATATTCCGTTTTGCTCACATAAGTCTCCGAAAATGATTGATGCTTAGGGACTAGAGCTTGAGTTGAGAAAGCTAGAAGGATCAGTAGAAGCTATCCATGAGAATTTGATCTATCTTAAGGGCAGGTAATTTTAAGTGTCAATAGCAAACTACTCTCAGTGCTTGTTTGGATTCACGGTGAAAAATCACGTTAAACTGATATGATTTTACAAAAGCTACACTCTGGAGCTTCAACATAATCACATTACTATAATGATTTTGTCAAACTCACCGTTATTTCAAACATGTCCTGTACAAATATATTTACTCAAAATACTAACTTTATTTGGCGATTGATTTTAACTTTTATGTTTTATCCTTTATTTTTTGTGATATTTATCAGAGAAGCAGAGATGAGGACAGTGAGTGAGACAACAAATTCAAGAGTGGCATGGTTTAGTCTTATGTCCTTGGGAATCGGCATTGCAGTTTCAATTTTGCAGTTGTGGCATTTGAAAAGATACTTTCAGAAGAAGAAGCTTATTTAGATGATGAGATAGTGTTGGATGATTTTATACATTTTTGTGACTTACTTCTTCACAAGTAGCCAAAAAATTTTATACATTTGCAGGGTTTCTAACTTTTCTTATCCTCAAAATTTTGATATAGCTCATTAAATTGGATAAGATGATGAATGATAATAAACTACTTTTTTGTACCAATAAGATAGATTGTTATATACGGAAACTCATTTGAGAGAAAAGAATTATTCTTATGTGTAGAGAGTTTCCCTTTTCTCAAATCAGGAAGGAATATTATTGCATGTCTAAGATTGAATTTGAGTTCAAAATTTCTAGTTAAATTAGAAGACATCTTTATCATCTCATTAATATTATGCTCTTGGATCTAAAACATTAATATAATTCTAATTAAATGTAAATTTGTCAAGCTAAATTATCTTTCCTCATAGAGTTTGGCGTGTACAACATATTTTGCAAGTGGTTGTCTATTTTATGTGACAATCTTTGAAGAGAAATGTTATTTTAAAAAATTGATTGCGATTATATTTCATTCTTTTTTACAAAAATTCCCAAAGTAACCTTCATATTAATTTTTTCTCTCTAATAACTCAAATAAATCTATTTTGTTTGATAATTAAAGGAATATGTGTTCTGGATTGGACCTGCACTTGGCTCAAACATCATACAAGGTTCAATCCAACTACGCTACATGAAAAGGTCAACTTGAAGAGTCTCTCCTCGACCATATCGGACAGTAACTCTACTCTTCTGGTCGACCTGGCTTTGTCCTATGGGGATAACCAATGAATGGCGAGAAGAATCAATGACGCTCGGGAGTTCTTCGCGTGCATCGTCCACTCTTCTCGTCGACCAAGACAAGTCTTTCGGGGACAACCTCACAACCGAAGAGGAGGGTCAACGGAGGTCAGAAGGACCTCGCGAGCATCTTTCTCGTAGAGCTGACACTCAACACCTCTGAATATTACGAAGTCCTCTTGATCCCAAAAAGACTGCATCCATAACTTCTTGATAGTTCGGAGAAATCCATCCAGGTTGGGGACCACGTGCTGTCCCCTACTACACACGTAGGACCTAGCAGTCTCCATTTTGCTTGCATTTTCTCTGAACCTCACTTTGGCATCAGAGTGTCTTGTAGGTACCTCCTCCACTTCACATCCAACTGCTACTCGACTTGAAGCTTGTGGGCTTTGACAATCCCTTCTGATCAATTACGATCAGTGGCGCCGTCTGTGGGAAACTTGCTTCTCCGTCTTCCTCTCAAGACCAAAGCAACTCTTCATCAAATCATACGATTGTCATGACCGACCAAGCTGCCGACAATAACCAAAATGCCCATCTCGCCGACCCCAACAACAACGTTGGCGACAACAACATTGGTGACAACAACATTGGCAACAAAAACGCGGGCAACAACATCGACGTGGCCGGTCCCGAGCAAAACTATATAGATGGGTTGACCACCTCTTCATCAACCCGCTCGCAACTGCGCGAGGATGACTATCATCCTCCACATAACTATGAACCAAATGCATACCAGGAGGTCTCCATCCCTGCAGGTGCTGACGCCACGGCCAGAGTTGTGTGTGCGGCCATCAACCAGACTAACTACATTATCTTCTCACAGAGTCAGCAGCTGAAGATGCTCGAGCAAACTCGCTGAGCCCCAAGAAGACTCAGAAGACCTAACACTCTTCCTCTCTGACAGAACGAAGACCTTCCCCAATATCCTCCGTGGAGACGCATACAGGATGTCTCACGAAGCCCTTCTCCCCGACGAACTGGTCGAGGCCCTGCGTTGGAGAGGAGCCAACCCGAAACTATGGGGAGGTACATTCGCACACCCCCGTACAGGGAGCGACGATCCCATGGAAACAACAGAAACATGGGAAATGGAGAAAGACAAACTCATCCAAGGGATCCTATCTGTGACCAAGGTCATCACAATGACCACCGTTACAACCGGTCTCCCTCCCATTCTCCAGACAAAAGTGACGAAGACGACCCCCGCAGTCCATTATCCCAAGCAATCATGGAGGCTCCCATTCCTAAGGGAATGGAGAAACCTCCCCTACTAAAGGAGTACGACGGCATTGCTGATCATGTTGAGGACATCAACGGGTTTGAAGCAATGCTCCATTACCACAATGTTGGGGGGCCAATTAAATGTCGGTTGTTCCCTGCAACACTGAGAAAAAACAGCCATGGACTGGTACAAGAACCTCTCCATCGGGTCGATCACCTCTCGGAGGAGCCTCAAGAACCAGTTCATCAACAGCTTCACCGTGTATCATCGACATCTGAAGACTAATGTCGCCCTTGAGGCAATCGTCCAGAGAAGTGACGAGACCCTCAGGGAATACATTGATCGGTTCAACCGCGAGGCCATTCAGGTCCCGTGTGCCAATAACATGAAAAGATACTTGCTCGATAAGGGACTCCTTCCGGGCACTGAATTCAGAAAGGCCGTCGGCATTGAGCACCCCTAGTCTTTCGATGCTCTCCTCAAAAATGCCCGAGCATACATGGATTACGAGGAGAAAGAAGCAGCTAACAAAGCCTATGATTCGAGAAATCGTAGACATGTTAACATCATGCGATACCAGGACGCGGGCCCTTCTCGATGGGCTGGGGAGAAGAGAAGGGAGGAGAAATCGCGCGATACCCGCGAGCATAGTGGACCAGTAGGGCGGTTCACATACTACACCCTGCTAACCGCTTCCCACGAATATATCCTTGCAGAGTGCTCTAATATCGAGTTCAAGGACGACGATGTCAGACGTCCTCGACCTGCTCCTACAAAGCCCGGGGAAGACATAACAAAATACTATCAGTACCATCAGAGCCACGAGAATTTGACGGAAGATTGCGTCCACCTCAAGGATGCCATCGAGACTTTCATCAAGGGCGGGAGACTCGGGCAGTACAGACGCAATGATGCCCCTCGCCGAGACACCCGTGAGATAAAAGAAATCAAGGAAGAAACCCGACCTTCCGATGAATCGGGTCCCCTTCGGGTGGCTTTCTCTGTGACAAGGCCTGGAGACTTCCACGTCCCTGACAACTACGACTTCATGGAACCAAGGTTGGTCCACTACTTCTTCAGTATCGATCTCATGATAGTAGGCTGGTTTATCCATCCGCTCAATGGTGATTTGAGGAGCCTCGTTATCCCAATTAAGTTTAAACATAGACGACATTGTAGCTAGTGCGTCTGCTAGCTGATTTTCTTCTCGCGGAAAATGCTCAAAGGTAATCTCCTCAAAATATGGCAGCAATGTCAAAACATGTTCTTTGTAAGGGATAAGGTTAGGGTGTTTGGTGTCCCACTCCCCTTTGATCTAATTGATGACCAAAGCGGAATCTCCGAACACAACCAAAGATTTGATCCCCAAATTTATGGCAGCTCTGAGACCAAAGATGCACGCTTCATATTCTGCCATGTTATTTGTACAGTCGAAGCAGAGTCTTGCGGTAAAGGGAGTATGACAACCTTTAGGAGATACGAGTACAACACCAATACCATTGCCAAGTGCGTTGGATTCCCCGTCGAAAAACAGGATCCATCGGGATCCTTGTTCAGGTCCGTCATATGGTCTGATCTCTTCACAATTGTCTACTGTCATTATGTCCTCATCCGGGAATTCGAACTTCATGGATTGGTAGTCTTCTACAGCTTGATGGGAAAGGTGATCTTCCAGTGCACTACCTTTTATTGCTTTCTGGGTAGTATATTGTATGTCATAATCCGTCAAGATCATCTGCCATCTTGTTATTCTCCCAGAGAGAGCAGGCTTCTCGAAGATGTATTTTATTGGATCCATTTTAGATATCAACAAGATAGTATGGGTCAGCATATACTGTCTTAGCCAGCGAGCAGCCCATGCCAGAGCGCAGCAAGTTTTCTCAAGCAGTGAATATCTTGTTTCCCATTCGGTAAACTTTTTGCTCAGGTAATAAATAACATGCTCTTTTCGGCCAGACTCGTCATGCTGCCCCAACACACACCCCATTGAGTTTGCTAAAACAGTCAAATACAAGATCAATGGCCTTCCCTCAACGAGTGGCAATAAAACAGGAGGCTCTTGTAAGTATTCTTTGATTTTGTCAAAAGCCACTTGGCATTTGTCATTCCATTTGACTACTTGATCTTTCTTCAAAAATTTGAAGATCGGTTCACAAGTAGCTGTCAGGTGAGAAATGAACCTGGAAATGTAATTCAAACATCCTAAAAATCCTCTGACTTCCTTCTCAGTACGAGGGGAAGCCATCTCTTGTATTGCTTTAGCCTTGGCAGGATCAATCTCGATACCTTTTTTGCTGACGACAAAGCCTAGGAGTTTACCAGACCGTACCCCGAACGTGCATTTATTTGGGTTCAACCTCAGCTTGTATTTTTTCAGCCTCTCAAACAGCTTCTGTAAATGATCGAGATGCTCTTCTTTCGTTTGAGATCTGGCTATCATGTCATCCGCGTAGACCTCTATTTCGTGATGTATCATGTCGTGAAATAGAGCTACCATGGCACGCTGATAGGTTGCCCCAATATTCTTCAGTCCGAATGGCATGACCTTATAGTAGAATGTGCCCCACTGTGTAACAAAGGTTGTTTTTTCCATATCCTCAGGCGCCATTTTGATTTGGTTGTAGCCTGAGAAACCATCCATGAAGGAAAACACTTTGTGTTGTGTCGTATTGTCAACCATAATATCAATGTGGGGGAGAGGGAAATCATCTTTGGGGCTTGCCCTATTCAAATCTCTGTAGTCCATACACATTCGCACTTTGCCGTCTTTCTTGGGTACGGGAACAACATTGGCAACCCATTGGGGATAAGAGGTGACAACCAGGAATCCAATATTAAATTGCTTCATGACCCCTGCTTTAATCTTTTCTAACATATCAGGCCTCATGCGGCGAACCTTTTGCTTTACTGCAAGACAATCTTCTCTTGTAGGCAGATGATGTACCACAATGTCTGTATCAAGTCCCGACATGTCTTCGTACGA